GTGCATCCAGAACATCTCAGAGAGCTTCCAGAGGCTGGTACCGCTGTTCGATCAGACCAGTCCTGGAGCTTCTGTCTCCGTTAGACCGGTGTGGAGACCTCTGAGTGTTTCTGCTCTGAGCTCATGAACAGCTGGACCCAGACTCACACAGCTGCAGTAACATCCTCCAGCTACACAACGCTCCGGTTCACCGTGCTACACATTTACACGACCATAAATCCTCAGACGACGGCATCAGCAGGAAGCAGGACGACATGACAGAGTCCACAGAGACGGGTGGTGTTCTGAGACTGGAGATACAGAGAAGGAACAGCATCACACGACTACACAAAGACACACAACATGACCACGGACAAAAAATTACCATCACAACACACACAAGATGATCACAAAGAAACACACAATGAACACAAAAAGACATAAAATGACAAAACAGAAACACAAAACAACCACAAACAGGAGCGAGACGACAACAAACAGACACAAAAACAGCCACAGAGAGACACAACTATGAGACAGACACACAACAGACCAGCAGCTTTGTGTGTCTGTTGTGGTTCCTGTTTGTGATGTTCAAACTCCCCCTGCTGGTCAGACGCTGCAGCTACACTCTGGTGGTTTCAGGTGAAGGACCAGAGGTTCTAGCGGGGAGGTTCTGAGGATCAGTAGAACCAGAACCAGAACCCAGTAGAGAACCACCAGCACAACACATGGACCCTCAGAGTGGAACAGTAGCAGAAGAACCAGAAGAACCAGAGACGCTGGAACCCACCGACACCAGAACAGGAGACCAGAGGAACCCTGGAGCAGCACGACAACACAACGTCCTGCAGACACACAACGTCACAGCTGCTCTGAGCTCAGTGCGACAAACATCAGTGTGTCGGCAGGACAAAGACACAAAATGAACATAAACAGACACAAAACCACCACAAAGACACAAAATGAACTGAAAGACACACAAAACTAATATAAAGAGACACAAAACAGTCACAAAGACAAAACAAAATGACCACAAAGAGACACAACGATCACAAAGAGACACAAAACCACCACAAAGAGACACAACATGAACACAAACAGACTTTTCACTGTGTTTGTTGAGTCAGTTCATTTCTTGTGAATTTTCTTCCGTCATTGTGCAGAACAATCACTACTAATCACACCCACTTTGTGTGTCTGTCTGACTGACACACACACACATACACACACACACACACACACACTCCGGGTGAAGGAGTGGAGTCTGAGGGAGGAACTGCAGGAAGAATGCAGCTCTTCAGGTTTGGATCTTCTGACCCGACTGGTTTGACCTCCGCCTGCTGCTGCTGCTGCTGCTGCAGTGAGTCTCGCTCGGCGGTTCTCTGGTCGCGTTCTGTCCGGATTAAACTCCGTCTGGTTCTGGGTCGGACCCGCCGGTTCAGGAACGAGATGTCGCTGAACCTGAGCAAGAACGGCGCCGCTCTGATGGCGGCCTACAAGGACGTGGTGGACGGGAAGTCGCAGAAGAACTGGTGAGTTTCACTGAGCAGGACCGGGCCCCGGCGTCGGTTCTGCATCTCTGAAGTTCTGTGTGTGTTTCAGGGCTCTGTTCACCTACGAAGGCAACAGCAACGACCTGCGCCTGGCAGAGACCGGAGGTGAGACCTGACTGAACTCTACCTTCTACACAGTAAACCTCCACTTAGGTCAGACTGCCAGCTGACTGCACTCACAGGGATGTGAGGACCAGAGAGGAACATTTATCAGCTGTTTATTCAGCGTGTTCCTGAGAATCTGAAACAAAAAGGATATAAAGCGACCAGAACGTGGTGCAGAACGACCACAACGTCACAGAAGTGACTAAAATGTGTCACAACAGGTACAGAAAGAGAAATAAAACGAGAGAAATGTCAATAAAACAACCAGGAAACGACAAAACAGCCACAATGTGACGCAGAAAACATCTAAAACAGCCGAAATCTAATGCAAAAGTCACAGATTGACATGAAACCACAAAAATGTGACACAAAACGACCATAAGAAGACGTAAAAAACCACCAAACGTAAAATTAAAACGACCAAAATGTGACGTTGAAGTCCTGATTTCAGCTCCAGTAGCTCAGAGCTGCACATTTATCAGCTGCTGTGAACTTTACTGCATTTAAAGTGTGAATAAAGAACAGAGTGGAACATTTAGAACATGTTCATTAAGAACACCTGTGATGTTCCTGCACGTGTCCAATCAGCCAATCAGCTGGCAGCTCAAACTGCAGCATTTTCAAGCTTTGTTATTTTCATTAAATTTCCCCTTCCTGCATTATTTTTTTTTTGCTATATATTCATTTTATTTATTTGTTATTTTATTTTGATGCTTTAAAGCTGAATCATTTTGCTTATTTAGATTTTATTATTATTATTATTTATTGTATTTATGCATAGTTTTGTCATCCAAGTTCCCCTATATTTATTTATTGATTTATTTTTAGAATATACATTTATTTTATTGGCTTTAATACTTTGCCTTCCTTTACTTCTTTTTAAAAAGTCTTCAGTCTATTATTCTACTTTTCTTCACTTTATTTTTATCATCTTATTGATTTTTTAAGCTCTTTATATATTACATTCACTTCCTAGTTTTGGGTATTTTATTGTATTTTTATGCTTTGTTATTATCATTTTAATTCATTTCTGTGGGAGCAGATGGAGGATTGGAGGAGCTGGTGGAGGAGCTGAACAGCGGGAAGGTGATGTACGGGTTCTGTCGGGTCCAAGATCCGAACTCTGGTCTGCCCAAATACGTCCTCATAAACTGGGTGAGACACACAAACACACACGACGACAACACACAACAACAGACGTGTGAAAGTGTTGAGTGATGAGAAAAAACCTGAAGCGGTGTGAACGTTTCCTGAAGCTGCTGCTCCTCCTTCCTGCTTCCTGCAGACAGGTGAAGGTGTGAAGGACTCCAGGAAGGGATTATGTGCCAACCACGTGAGCTCCGTCGCCGGCTTCCTGAAGGTCGGTCTCACTTTCTACGCTCCTGTCACTGGAAACAAAGCTGCACGATTCAGTATCTTCACACTGCAATGGCTGAACTGATGATGAGACCAGACGCCTGTCAGCAGGTCGGCAGGTCGGTTGTTGCAAACCAGGTTCATCAGCGTCTCTGTCATGTGACCTCAGGGAGCCCATGTGACCATCAACGCTCGCGGGGACGAAGACGTGGAGCCGGAGTCGATCCTGGAGAAGGTGGCCAAAGCTTCTGGAGCCAACTTTGACTTCCACCAACGGAAACAAGGATACAGAGACGCCCCGAGAGGCCCGGTGGTGAGAGACGGCACTGATCAGGGTCCACTGATCCGAACCCGGATCACTGCTGATCATCCCGGTTTATTCTATACGACCTGATGAGTCCAGCATCAGTCCTGCTGTTAGACCTGACCTGTGGCTGATCACGTTTTATAATCTAACAAGTGTTTAAAATCTGTTTCTATGTGAGTTACAGTGTGCACGCTTCAGACCCAAAATTAATCAAAACCTGTTCAAAATGACAAACACCTGCCTGAATCGAAACTGCCTGAATGTCTCACAAATAGTCAAAAAATGTCCAAAATGACAAAAAATTACTCAGAACTCATCCGAAGTGACTCAATATGTCCAAAATAACTGA